ATCTGTCTGTGGTCTGCCTACAGCCTGGCACACAGTCCACACTCAATAAATATTTGTTAAATGATGAATGACTTGGAAAACCCCGGGTAGCTGAGGTGAGGAGGAAGCAGGGATGGGTGTCCAAGCAAAGGGAACAGCCTGTGTAGTGCGAGGCTCCTGAGTCTTGCCCCTGCAACCCACCTTCCCTCTCCTGCACTCCAGCCTGGATGCTTTTTCTAGGGTGAGAAGTTAAGGGGACATTTGGTCCTTTCACCCCCAAGTCGCCCCCTCACAGGCCCAGCCAGAGCCAACTCCAAGCCTCCCACGGCTGGTGCAGGAAGCCACACCCTAAGGTCAGATCCCTGAGCAAATATATTATCAGCTCCACCCGTGATAAGGGGAGGCCTGGCAGTTGGAAACCTGCTTGAGTGCTAAGTGATTAGCTCCAGCCAACCCCTCAGTGTCAAAGCCTTCGCATCCCTGGCCAGAGAGGACCCTGCCTTAGAGGCCCAAGTCCATCCCTTCCATCTAACAGATACTGGCAAAGTCAGTGGTGGGTGGGGTCTTGAAGAGGAAATAGACCCAGGAGCCCATAGCCACCTCCACCCCCCACAATTCATGACCTGGCTGGTGAGATAAGAGGGCTAGGGGAGGCTCAGCACCTGTAGTACAGTGGTTACAGCATCGGCCACATACACTGAGGCTGGTGGATTTGAACCCAGCCAGGGCCTACTAAACAACAGTGACAACTGCAATAAAAAAAAATAGTTGAGTGTTGTGGTAAGTGCCTGCAATCTCAGCTACGTGGGAAGCTGAGGCAAGACAATTGTGTGAGCCCAAGAGTTTGAGGTCGCTGTGAGCTATGACTCCACAGCACTTACCGAGGGTGACAAAGTAAGACTCTGTCTCAAAAAAAAAAAAGCGAGATCACATCTCTACTAAAAACAGAAAAAATTAGCCAGACATCATGGCAGGTGTCTATAGTCCCCAGTACTAGGGAGGATGAGGCAGGAGGATCTCTTGAGCCCAAGAGTCAGAGGTTGGTGCAAGCTAAGCTGACATCAGGGCACTCTAGCCTGGGCAACAGAATAAGACTCCATCTCAAAAAAAAGAAAAGCAATAGCCATGGAATCAGCAGAGTATGTATTCAGTCTGACCACTTCTCCCCTCCCTGGTGTAGCAGCCAATGCCTCCTGCTGAGGCTAGCCCCACTAGACAGCAACATGACTCAAGCCACATACACAGCTGAAACTTTTCCAGGATCACATGGAGAAAAGTAAAAAGAAATAGGTGAAACTAATCTATTTAACACACTATATGCAAAATATTATCATTTTAACGTGGAATCAATACCAAAAAATGACCTATTTTACTTTTTTTTTTTTACCCCTACTAAGTCTTCAATATTTGGAGTGTCAATTTTATTTCCAGTTCATCCCAATTCCAATAAGCCAGTGGCTGTGGCTGCATGCTGGGCAGTGCAGCTAGACTCGTGCTGTCACCTCCTCACCAGCAAGCCCTCTGAAGGTCCTACTAACACCTAAGTCAGTTAACATCCCTCTTCTGTTCAAAGCCCTCCCAGTGGTTGGCGACTTCGAGGAGCAATGGTAGCACATCTGACTTCAAAGCCCTCCTGCTGGCTCTGGTTTCAGAGTAAAAGCCAAAGTCCTTTGGGTGGCCTTTGAGGCCCTACAGGATCTGTCCTCATTCCCCTCTCCCTTCCTTCCTCCTCACATTCTCCAAATACTCCTGCCTCAGGCCCTTTGCACATGCTATCACTCCCCACCACACTTGGACTGCTCTCTGCCCCAAATTCAGCTCCCTTATTTGAGTTTCTACTCCATAGTCACTCCGACAACATTCTCTTGCCGGCTAGATAAGCCAGTTCTCAAATACCTCCAAACTCTCCCCTGCTTTATTTTTCTCAATGGCATTCTCTCCCCTTAATATAATACTGTATATGTTTGTGTCTGTCTTCCCAAACCACAGGTCCGCTCCATACCTGTACTATTCCAGGCTGTAACCCCAGGCCAGCACAAAGTCTGGTGCATAGTAGGTGCTCAATAAATGTTGTCAAATGCTGAATGAACAATGGTCTGCGTACACCCAGTGCTGGCTCCCGGGCAGTCCCAGCACTCACTGACCCTCAGTAAGTCCCAGAGAGGTCAATGTCATGATCACTTAGCACCCACTGCACAGAAAAGTCAAGAGCCCCTGCCTATGATCACCTGATCTGCTTTCTGCCCAGCCCTGGGCCTGGTACATGGTGCTCTAGAAACTACAGCTGTGGATTAGACCAAGAATCCAGGCTCACCAAAGGAGGGCCCAGGGCAGGGGGGAGTGTGGAGAAATGGGGGCAGATTGGGAAGGGCAGGGAAGCAGATTGAGAAGATAGGCATGATGCTGCTGTGGGGGTGGGGGAGTTAGGCAGTCAGGGCAACAGCCAGGTTCTGCTTGAACAGCAGGTCACCAGAAACCTGTGCCTCCCTGGAGACTCCTCTCCCTCTGTCATCCACACCTGGTGTCCAGTTCCACAAACTCCCTCCGAGCCCCTGCTCTGTGCTAGACGACATGCTGGACAGTGCTAAGGACACAGTAGCGACAGCCCAGCTCTGCCCTTCTGAGGGTCCCAGTCCAGTGGGGGATGAAGACCCTTCTCCACACAGTGAGAGCCCCCAGGTGGTCACAACCGGGACAGGGAATTCCAGGGGGCAACTGACTTGGAATTCAGGGGGACTTCCTGGAGGAAGAGGAGGAGGAGCTGTCAGGCAAGGAATGGCAGAAGGAAATAGGGGACCCTGGGGTACTGGGCAAGTGAGACTTGAGCAGGGGGTAGGGCTCCCCAAAGGAAGGGGATGCTCCATGAGGCTGGTCTAGTGCACAGGCACCAGGCCATGCGTGGCCTCATGGGCCACAGTGAGGAGCTGGGCTTTCTCCTGGGGGACCTGGGAAGCCATAGCAGGTTCTGAGCAGGGGACAGGCAGGGGCAAGTTTCTGTTTGAGAAAGGCCCTCTGTCTGCCCTGTGGAGGGACAATGGAAGGGGGTGCGACCAGGGCCAGAGATGTGGGAGGAGTTTGGAGAGACGAGGGAGGACCCAGGCAGAGGGGGTACTGCCTGGACCAGGTCAGGTGCTACAGGGAGAGGGACAAAGGTACACAGAAGATACATTTAGAGACAGGCGCCATAGGGTGTGGCTGCTCTGGGGAGTGGGGGTAGCCATCAGGGATGAGGCCAGGGTCTTTCAGCCCACAATGAGCTAGGCAGTGGCGCCTGCCCTGATAAGAGGGACCAGGGGATGGATCAGGTCTGAGGGAAGGTGCCAGGTCAGTTTGGGACAAAATGAATGAGAGTACCCAGGGACATTAGTTTGGGGGCGGGGAGAGGCATCCTGAATGACACTGGGATGAGGTCCCAGGACTCCAGGGAGAAGTCTGGGCCAGCACAGAGGGGTGATATGAGGTCGCAGGTGGGGTGGGGGGACCCGGAGGCGCCAGAACCTCCTCCAAGCCTCCTACCTGGCCTCAGCCACCCCCTCCTCCCAGCCTCCTCCTCTCTTCAGAGCCCTGCCCTGCTAGGGCAGCCCAGGACACAGTGCTGGAGGAGCAAATGGGGACAGGTGAGCCACAGGTATGGCCCCCTGCCTAGAAGCAGGACCCAAAGCCATCAGGATATGAGTCCTAATAACAGGGCTGTCAGGAACTCTGGCCCCACAGCTCCCTCGCCCCTGTCCCACATCACATCTCACAAACACTTTCCCTAAAGCTCAGCCTCTACTCCAATTTAAAATGGCAAACCCTCTCTCTGGTTTTATTTTTTCATCTGATGTGGAATAGATTTTACTTTTCCTTTGTTCACCCCATGAATGTGAGGCCCCCAAGGGCAGGGGTTTCATGCAACTCATACATTGCTATATACCCAGTGCCTACAACAATGCCTGAAAGACAGTCACTGCTCACTAAATATTTGTCCAATACATGCGTGAATGATTTATTGAGCATTTGCTCTATGCCAGGCAGCGTGGTAAGTACTGTTTACTTACTTCATCCTTATAACAGCCCTTATTGTTCCCATTTTACAGAAGAGGAAACTGAGGCCCAGCAGGTTCTCTAATTTGCCCAGGGTCCTGGAGGTATGGAAACTCAAATAACAGGACACCAACCAGATCTCATGTTTGGGGGCCAATTTTATCAGGCTCTGTCTTGTAGTATCCACTAACTGCTCACAACAGCCCTGAAGTAGGGTCCATACCATCTCTATCTTTCACAGTAATAAATGGAGGCTCAGCAAGGGGCCATCCCCAGCCCCACTTCAGGTACGTGCAGAGCCAAGGTCAAAACTCAATTCCCTCTAGCCCCAAAACCTCCAAATGCATCCATTTGACAGGGGAAGCAAGCCCTCAAGACAGGAAGAAAGAGAATGTGGGTTTCTGGGCACTCTGCACCAGGCCAACAAGAAGCAGAGCCGCAGAGAAAGCGTGTGGTATCCAGCCTCCTGCCTCTCTGTCTGGCTTTGGAAACAGAGCAGGACTCAAATCCCCTCTCCCCGCAAGAACTTAAACAAGTCTGAGTTCTTGCTTAGTGCCTCAGCTCCTCCATCTGCAAAGGGGGATGTTAAAGGTGCCCACCTCACAGGGTTGTTTTGATACCCTCCAAGATAATAATTGTAGGTGATCTTGAACCAAGGCTGGAAAATTGCAGTCATCACTTACTGAGTTACTCCTTGGTGACCCCCACTCACCAGGGGGTCCACGGGCTTCAGTGGCCAGTAAAGAAATGCCCTGAAATCTTCCTCGCTCCCTCCTCCCTCTTCCCTGGTGACCTGGTTCTTCTCCCAGTACCAAATCAGGGCCTTCGGCACAAAGGGTTAGGCAGCTGCCCCAGGAGACCTGGCCAGGTCACGGCCCCTGGCTAGTGCCCGCCACACCCACCCTGATGCCCAAACTGGGCCCCAGATCCTTGGTGACTCGATCCCTCCAAATTCAGGTGATCTCCCCCAGCTCCAAATCACCAAACCCTCCCAGGTCCAGCAGCAGACGGAGCCAAGTCCCAACCAGGAAGGGCCTCCGAGCATTGGGACACCAACGCCACTGTCTCCAAGACACAGTCTGGAGTGAAAGATGGCGCTGACCGGGTACAGCTGGCTCCTCCTCAGTGGTGAGCAAAAATGGCACTCCAGCACCTCGGCCTCCCAAGGGCCTCAGAGAGGAGAGGGGACCCCCAGCCCAGCAGAGGGAGGGTATGAGCAAGGAGTCTACCATGCTGGGTAAGGAAGGCAGCTCTGTGAGGCAGGCCTGAGACACCCACCCAAAGAATGGGCTTTGGAGATTTAAGCACAGGCCATGAATTAGGGCAAGGGGCCACTGTTAGTCCCATTCATGTGGCAGAACCTTAATGAGGTACGGAAGCCTTGACTAGGGTGGGTCCTGACCAGAGGCTCTGTCCCTCCCTGAAGATGTAGCTTTGGGCAATGACCTTCCCCCCCCTCCTTTTTTTTTTT